GCGTCTGCGGGTCTCTGCTCAGTGCCTGAGGGCCACTTTCCAGGCCATCTGGTGGATGTCAGCCGTACTGGGACCCTGTCTCAGAGTTACAAGTACGAGGTGTGTCTGACTGGAGGCTCAGGGACCAATGAGTTCAAGTTCATGGGGCCGTTTATTCCCAACTTTCTTGATCAGGGAGCGGAGAGAGTTAGTGAGGCAAACCCTAGTTTCAGGAATAGCGTTGAATTCAGTTAAGTATTTATAAGGGCCTACTCCTACTGAGACTAACCTCAGTTAATTTGTGGAAAGTTCTTTGTTATTGCTTTGTCCTTTAGAAAGATGTCTCTTTGGGTCTGGTTCAAGTCATGTAAGCAGTACTAGAGCTATATTGCAGTTCCAAAAATAGCTTAATTTTCACTAACAAAGGAATCAAAACGTGGTTGTTCAGCCATAAATGTTTTCTTCTTTAATGAAGAAACTTTAGTTAATAGGTCATTTTGTTTATATATTGATTCTCCTTTCTATGTAGTTTGCTAGTCAAAGCATAGTTTTCTTTTTTACCTGCTTCCTAATTTACCAACACAGACTTAATGGCTCCTTTTTTTTCTAATAAAGGAGTAAAATTTTGTTATCTTTTAATAGTGATTTCAAATAGCTTTTAAGTAACTAATTTCAAATGCTATATTTACAGCAATGTCCAGAGTTCCAAGCCACTAATTTTATAATATACTTTGTTGAATATATTCATATACTTTATAATATTCCTAAAGCAGCTTTGTCTAGGATTAAAGAAGTCTGAGAATAGATAAGAGTGTGATTTCTTCAAGATATAATAATAAATCATCTTTTTAGAGGTATAGTCCTCAAATGAAAGTAATACATGTAGTTCAACTTCTGTTGTCAACTTCTGGACATTGCAATTAATGTTTCAATATTATATATGCTTGTGTTGGATGAAAACATAGACTACTATGGCAAAGCACTCTTACTTTGGTTTTCCTAAAGTATATTCTTGATGACTGAGGGCAAGAAACTAAACCTATACCATCTTAAACTGATTGTTCATCTCCATTTGACACAAAGACATTGTTGCATAAAGCATCTGGAGGGATGGAAATTTGTTTTTGGGCTTGGCGCCTATAGCTCAACCGGCTAAGGCGCCAGCCATGTACACCTAAGGTGGTGGGTTCGAATCCCCAGCCCGGACCCGCCAAACAACAATGACGGTTGCAACCAAAAAAAAAAAAAATAGCCAGGCGTTGTGGCGGGCGCCTGTGGTCCCAGCTACTTGGGAGGCGGAGGCAGGAGACTCGCTTGAGCCCAGGAGTTGGAGGTTACTGTGAGCTGTAATGCCACGGCACTCTACCCAGGGGGATAGCTTGAGGCTCTGTCTCAAAAAAAAAAAGAAATTTGTTTTTGAACTACTGAGATATAATTTTTTTAAACCTGAAGGTCATTTTTTAAATTTCAAGAATTTACATGGACACATGTGAATTATGTCCATATCTCTAAATGCTTTAGGGTAAAAGTACTGTCTCATCCAGTGCCATTTTATTATTAATAGCTACTTCACATTTACTTGGTAATATGGGAGGGAAATATTTTCTTGCTTTTGTCTTCATTTCTTTTTTCAGATTTCAACCTTACATGATTTAGGACTATATATGGTCTTTCTAGGATAGAAGTTGTCCATCCATATCCACATTCTACCTCTTACAATGTAATTAAAAAGATGTACAAGAATAGAAAGTTTTAAAAAAGGAAAAAGCAATATCATTGTCAAAATCTCGATTAGCTACACCAAGAATAAAATCTGAAAACAACTAAAACATCAAATCTTATGACTATCTTGAATGAAATAGAAAAACTTATTTTAAGTAACAAAACATTAAGATCAGAATTAGAGGAATTTATTGGAAAAAGATAAGTTTCTTCTCACAGGTATTTTCTCATCCGGAGAGATGAAACTTTTCAAGAATTGAATACTCATAATTTTCAAAGATTTCAAAAAATTTCCAACATAGAATATGAATTAAAGATCAGCATGGCTTTAATCATATGTTAAAGTATAGTTATCACATTGCAATGGTGTCATTTTATGTAACTGAGCATCAGTGCATGAATCTTTAATAACCAGAGGAAAAATAATATATTTCACTTTAAGTACTTTATAGAGATGTTTCAATCTGGCTCTTTCAGCCAGATTTTTTTCTTCTTTTCATACTTACCTGAACTTTCATGAAGATGGGGAAAAAGGCAAAGAATTCTGGTGAAGATTGTTCTTTATTTGGCTGCCTTAGTCCCAGGTAGTGTCAGACCCTGGAAAGTATTCAGTTGTTGGAAGTATAAAGGGCAGTTGGTTTTGAGGCCAATGTGGGATATGATCCTAGACTAAAGTTGGAAAGGCTGAAGAGTAATTTAAATACTGAAGCTAGAAGAACATATGTTATTAGTAACTTAGTTCATAAATGGACTGGATTTACACATTGTTGAGAAAATGAACAGAATTTATCAAAACCAGAAAATATAATCTGGAATAAATTTGAAGATAGGAAGCAACTATGCCTTACTCTTGGTTTAAAGTTGCTTTTATGTTGGGGCAGTTAGAAACCTTTTACCCTTCCAAAACGTACTTATCTCAATATGTCATTAAGTACAGAACAGAGAGGGTGCCATATGTACAGTACTAACTATTGTTGCCACTTTTTGGAATTCCACAAACTAAAAGTCTGGCACAAGGTAAAAGGGATGACTCTGTACATTAATAACAATTTTCTGGTAATTTTTCCTCTAAGATGGCTTATAAATCCATTACTGCAAATTATTTACAAATTGATTTTTACCATATTCCAATTGTCAAAAAGATAAATTAAAGAAAAAAATTGACTCCCTACTCTACAATATATTCCATGATATTCCTAGGCTGTAAGCAACTTGAAGGTAGAACCTGTTTCTAGTTTATTCATAGTTGCATTTCCAGCACAGAACACAATGCCTCATACGTTGTAGATACTCAATTTGTATTTGTTAAGTAAATAATTTTAAATGAATTTTCTGAATTCATTTAGTATTAAATGAATTTTCTCTGTACTTAAAATTTTATTTAGACCTGATACACACATTGAATTTCAAAAGAACTTTCTATACTCAGAAATGTATGTAGTGCAAAAGAATAATTCTCCATAGAGGCAATTTATTATTCAATATTCTCCCTTTGTTTATTGAGACTTCTGGAAATTCAGAGAACTGTAAAATAATGTGTTAGTCAGTAATTTAGTTCCAAATTGATCTTGTTGACATCTTTAATCTCAGAGAAAAGAAGAAATTAAGT